TTCTAGATGAAAGTGCCAGAGGTGGTAATCCAGTTTAATGTGGAGGTAAGGAGCCTGGGTTGGATGCTGTGCACTGGGGTCGGCTGGGTGATGGATGTGGAGTGGTTAGCTCTGTCTCTGTAGGATGCTGATGCACATCTTTGTGTGCTACACTTGAGCTCTGCCTGTCAACTCCAATACCACATTAGAGATGAGGCCTAGTGAGTGACTACTAATCCTGTTCCTTCTATGCCTCTTTCTTAGCTTCTGTTGCTGGAATAAAATACCTGAGATAATCAACTTAAAAAATAATAGGCTTCTTTGTGGATCATGGTTTCAGTCTATGGTTGGTTGGTCCTATCACTTTGAGTCTTTGACAAGGTAGGACATTAAAGCAGCAAAACAAAGCTGCTTACTTCATGGTGGTCAGAGAACAAAAAGAAGAGTGGACTGGGGTATCAGTGTTCCCTCCAAAAGCATGGCCCAATGATGTACCTTCCTTTTACAAGGCCCTACTTTCTGAAGGTCCCACCAACTCCTGGGAGCACCACAGACCAAGCCCTTAGCATGGTCTACTGGTTTGCTTTACTGTTGCTGTGATAAAATACCATGACCGAAAGGAACTTGCAGAGGAGAGGGTTTATTTGGCTTACAAGTTGCAGTCTATCATCAGGGGAAGTGAAAGCAGGAAGTCATGGCAGGAGTCTGCAGACAGGAACTGAAGCAGAGTAATACTGCTTACTGGGTTGCTCCTCATTGTCTGCTAAGCTGCCTTTTTTTTTTCACCCAGGACCACCTGCCCAGGGTTAGTACCATCCTCCCCAGGCCCTCCTCTAACAATTAGTGATCAAGAAAAGGCCCCACAGACATACCCATGGGCAATCTGATGGAGGCATTTTCCCAGTGAAGGTTTCTCTTTCCAAATGACTCTGGTTTGTATCGTGTTGACTTAAAACCAAGTGAGACTCATGATCTTTGGGGGACAGGTAAGATTCAGACTGTAGCAATCTGCTGTGTGTGCACAGGAGCGGCGTTCTTTTAAGAGACTATATACAGAAGGTAAAACTCTACCAGAATTAATGGCTTAGATAATCTGCTGGCTGTCAGAGCTTAGATTCTGGATAGAGATTGTTTCTGTTGCTAGATGCATTGTAATGATACAGTTGTAATCATTGACTGTAGTGTACAGCAGTCTTACATGTGCATAACAAGAGCACTCTAAAGAACAGTCTTTGTTACCATTGATTTTATGTGTTCACTATTTCTCTTGAGAAAATAAGTACAAACCACAGATTGGATGTTAGATTCACTTTCTTTCCCATGTATTCATAAGGCATTTATGAATATTCAAATGAACAGTCAAGGTAGTGTTTAAAAAGGCTTTAGAAAAGAACACTACATTACATGATTAATTAGTGAACATTTATGAGCTGATTATGATAATGAGTATATTAGCAGTAACCAAAATACATGTAAGAGTTTAGAATTTGCATAAAATATTTATGACAGTCATATTTTCAGTTTTAAATCCATATTTATAGACTATACCCTAGATAGAACTCCCCAAACAGAATCATGGTCTATATCTACTACATAGACCTTAAATTTCAGGTTTTTCTAAAATTAATTTTATTTAATTCTAATATTAAATGTTGAGACAAGATACATATGCATTTTTTTCAACAAAATTAACTGAGTATCTTCTATGTGCTGTTCATTACAGTAAGCATTAGGGATGCTTATTCCAATGCCCCTATCTTGGGTACTTCCCCATGACCATGTCTGAACAGCATGGGCCCCAATAGAGACAGAATCAGAACACTGTAAGACAGGTGATGGGGGAGCTGAGACATCTGAGCACAGAAGGGACAGTTTCATATGGAGAGATGTGTGCTGGATTCATGCCACCCTTGTGGGATGCTGTGGCAGGCTAAAGAGAGGTGGAGTAGAGAGGGCAAATTGCAGACATAATGGTACTAGCTACATGTGGTCAGCTATGTGTTATTTTCTAACTTGAGATAAATTTACATTTCTTACATATTTCTGCCAGAGATTATTTTCATTCTGTGGAAAGCTGGGGTGGGGTATATTCCCCACTCCGCAGGAACTAATGTTTTTTGAATGTTCATATGCTAAACTTTTAAATATGTGGTAGCATTCAAGTAGTTCAATGTAAAACAGCTTTGCAAGGAAGGTAGTGTTATGACCAGAGCAACATAGCCTGAGAAGGTAAGAACTCCACCAAGATCTGCCTGACTCCTCCCCTGTTAGTTCTAAGGAAAGGTTTTCCATCTGTGAAAGGAACACGAGCCAGCAAAGAGGCAGAGAGAGCAATAGCAAGTCTTACGGCATGTCTGTGTGCTAGGTGGCATTAGAAGCATTTACATATATTGAAATCATGTCTGAACACATGAGCGACTCCAGATCTCTTTGGAAGGCAGCTGCTATTGAACAAATATAACTGAGGCACAAAGGAGTCAAGACCTGATGCTCAAGGTTCCAGAGGTGCTATCCAGACAGGCCAGGACTCAGCTCCAGGGACCGGCACTTACATACCTACTTCACAGGCGTCCTTTTGACTCAGGCCAAGACTTAACTCGGGGTACTAGTAAAGGCTATGCAGAGAGAGATACTCCAAGTAGAAGACACCAATGGAGAAGAAGTCTTAGGTCTCCACGTAAGATAGAGAAACATAATTGTGTATGGTATTGCTGGATGAGACCAGTGAGCAGGGAGAACAGCGGAAGAAGGCAGAGGTAGGTGAAGAAGAGAGTCTTTCCTTAACACTATGCAAATAAGTGTCTCAATTTGCATTTTTCTTTCTAATGAACTGATAAATGAATAATTAGTAAGGATGGTGCCACTGTCCTAACTTGTGGTAAGGGACTCTACCACTGAGCCACATCTCCAACTCTGTTTTTTTTAGAACCAGAAAATATCAGTGTAAGAAAGACATTTTCAAATATATATTTAAAACAGACAGGCACAGTGGTGCACATTTGTAATCCCTGAACTCACGAGGTTGAGGCCAAAGGATAGTGAGTTTGAGGTTAGACTGGATTATGAAGTTAGTTCAAAGCCAGCCTTGCCTCAAGAAATCAGGAGCTGGGCATTTAGCTGAGTGATGGAGGGCTTGTCTAACTGCACTTTATCACATAGTCTGCAGTTTGATGAACATTAAGATTTGATGATGATTATCTGAAAAAAAGCTGAATTTCACTATTCTTTAGGTGTCTACTTTACTTGCATTTTTTGCATGTACACATATTTATGGCACTGTGTAATGCACATACATGTGACATCTTTTCAAAATTTTATTCAAAGAGATTCCCCACCTGACTACTCAGTCTCATAATTAATAAGATGTAAATAGCATCTGATATGTATATATTCTCATCAGCCACCAGATGGCATAAGGTGGGTGAGCATTTCATTCTAACAGGGTCACAGCGCATAACTTGGCCCTATAAACTTAAAATAATGTATTTTGAAGTATTCTAGCACTCAAATAGCTCAGTTGTTTTAGCCACATGTAGAATTGAGTGACTAAGTTGAAATTGACTGGGTCCTCATTTTTCTAAATCTTGGGGTTCTGTGAGACGCCAGCACTCCAGAAGGAAGCAACGCAAACAAGGGAAAGAAAACAGCTCTGTTACAGGAAATCAGAGAGGAAGTCATGTCAAAGCAATGACTATCTTAGATTCTGAGTAAGTTTTTCAACTACAAGAGAAACTTGAAACATGCCTTCAAGAAAAAAAAAAAAACATGTTTGCCCTCCTTCAAACTCAGCGTAATACATCTTTCTCCTTCCTGTAATTTATGCTGAGGGGCTAAAGAGTAATACAGAAACTTTTCTTCACTTTGGTCCAAAGAGAAGTTGTTGCTGATGTTTGGGGAACAAAAGGCTAGAAGAACCAACTTGACTTCTACTCAAATACAGCACATTGTTTAATGATCGTGAATTCTCATCAGAAAACCACAGGCTCCTGACTGCGGATGGCAGGAGCTGAAGTGTGAGGTGAAAATGGGGAGGGTGGCAAGGTCTTCCCTTCCCAAGCCTCACAGCAGCCCAGCTGCTGAGCACTGTGAAGAAAGCAGCACACTGTTCATGAGCTATCTCTCCTATCACACACACACACACACACACACACACACACACACACACAGGAAAAATAGAAAAGAGACCTGGGTGGAGAAAGAGACCTAGCAGAAAAATGGGGGGCAGGGAGAGAAAGAAAGTGTTTATTTATTATGGTCTGAGTATATATTATATTTGAATGAAAAAAAATGTTATAAAACCCATCATTTTGTACAGTAAATGCACATTTACTTTGGTGTGTAGGGGGAGCGCATGTATACTTGAGTTTACACATGAGGGGGTACACATGTGTATAGAGGCTAGTGGTTGACTTCTGACGTCTTTCCTGATTGTTCCACTAAGGTAAGGTCCCTTGCTTAACCTGGAGCTCTCCAGTCTGGTTAGTAGAAAAAGTAATCCAGCTTGACAGAACCCTCTATCTCTGTCTTCTGAGTACAGGGATTACAGGAGGTTCACTTGGTCTACCTGGTATTTACACGGTTCTGGGGATCTGCACTCTGGCCTTTATAGTTGAATAGCAAGCACTTTATTCCCAGATTCAATAAAAAATTTAGAACACACACACACACAAACACACACACACACACACACACACACACACACACACACACACACGATTCCTGAATGAGAAATCTTTGGGAAAACAAAGTCAGAGCTATGAGAAAGATGAAATGGAGGCCGGTGATAATTTGCTTGGAAGAAGACAGGCTGTGGCTCATGCCCTAGCTCCATGTTTGCCAGCTTTCCTTCCTGAGTTCCCGTGGAAGGAAATGGTACTTTCTTATCATTGTTCTTGTGCTTATGAAAGGCATAGGCTGCTATTCCTAGGACATCTGCTAACGGCTCAGCAGATAGTAGAGAGCAGAAAAACCAACACTCAAGGTCATGCCATCATGCATTCAAGGCAATTGGAAGGTCTTACTTTGACTCCCACTGCAATATATTCTGCCGATCCTGCTGCTTCCATTTGTAATACTGTCCCATGAAATGTGGATCTCCAACAACTGAAATAAAGTGATTAAAGAAAGAAGTATTCATATACACTCCTTAATATCATTCAGAGTTGAGGGTAACTCACTTCTCATTAAGTTGATATGTGGCAATTGCACACACTGTATAGTTCATGTTACAATGCTCAGCGACTTTGCAAATGTTTTCTTTTTATTGGAACTGTGTAATACTCAATATTGTTTGAAATAAGTAGATTGTGACTTGGAAATTGTTTTCATTATAATGACATTCGTTTATATATCATTTATGCAGTTAAATAAAATTTATGAGAGACCATTGCTTTAGACTGAAGTCCTGCACTAGGTCCCAATACTAATGCAAGTGGAGTCCCTCAAGCCAGACAGTGGTGGTACAGGCCTTTAATCCCAGCACTATGGAGGCAGAGAAGGCACATCTTGGAGTCTGAGGCTAGCCTGATCTATAGAGTGCTGTTCTAGAACACCCAGAGCTACAGAGGAACCATATATACATATACATGTACATGTACACACACACACACACACACACACACACACATATATATATATACATATAAAATAAAAGTGGAGTTTTATTTTCACAACGTCACACATCCTTGGAGCAAGCAGAAGAATCCCCAAATAAACTCTACTTATGGCAAGCAACTGGAAGGGCCAGTGAGATGAGCAAGTCCCTCTGCACTCCCCTTCCAAGAAAACTAACCTGGTTGTTTCCTGGTTCCTACTCTTTAGTTAAAATGCTACCTAACTCATGATTCACTAATAAAAGCCAATTCTGTCTTTAAACTTGCAGAAACTTTGTATCATTGTAATGGTAATAAAGTATTAAGACAACTCATGGGGACCATAGTTTTAATAACTTAACAGTTTTCCAATTTATCTCTTCAAGAGAAAAATTAAGTCTTGGAGTTGGAAGTATCAGTCTTTCCATTTTTACTCTGAAAACCATTATTTTGTTTTGTTTCCAGTTCTGGGAAACTCCAGGCCCTGTGCAAAGCAAGTCAAGGCAGGGCATCTATATCCCAGAGACATTCCCAATCTTGATCATATCATCCACCGAGAAAGACTATCAATCAGATGGTTCTCCTGGCTTGAGGGAGCCCTTTGGCCACCCTGCTGTGACACTGTACCCTCCTTTGGCTGATGTCAAGGGTTCCAGTAACCTCCCTTGGGTTCAAGTGGCCTCCCTTGATCTGAACACTGGGAGTTACCTCTGGTCCAGTTCATCTTTCTGGATCAATGCCAGTCAAGTGCATCCTTCTCCTGAGGAGCCAGCCTCTAATATTGGCAGGCAGATCTTAAGAAAGCCCTGACTCCTTTAACTTTTTCTTAGAATCTAGTATTTCTAGAGACAATCATCTTCACTATTCTCATGAGAATCACAGTTGATGCTCCTATTAAAATTTCTGACCAGAAGCTGGAGATAAGGGTTCATGCTTAAGAGCACTTCCAGAGGATCAAGGTTCCCAGCACCCACACGGAGCTCACAACTGCCTATAGTTCCAACTCCAGGGCTTCTAACACCTCTGGCTTCCATTACTAAACATGTGTGATTATACACAAGTAAAACAAAATAAAACTCCTTTATATCCAGGGCAGGTTATTCGGTTCAATAGCAGAGCACTGGGATTCCATCCCAACAACCCAAACATCAGGATTTTTATTTAGTTTAAATAGTACAGATGCAAGTGGACTTGCTGGCCTATTGTATGCAGCAGTTCCATCTGCCCAGTTCATGCCTTCATTAGGGTATTTTGAAATACCCTAATGTTACCTTACTGGCTCACAAGTTTGGGGTTAGTTACAAGTTTATGTTGCCAATCAAAGTCACATAAAATGTACTGAAAAGTATACTCTGAACCTATATCATATATTTTCTCCTCCCTCTGTCCTCCCCTTCTTAAGTCTGAGTTTTTAGATGAACCACTTAACTAGCTAGATGCTCTCTGCTCGTCTTGTTATTTGGAGTCTTTACTCTTTCTTTGTAATGCAATGCCATTTGCTTTTGATAGATAAATTACATGATTTTCACCAGCAACATTCCTATACACTCTAACTTTTTTTTTCCCTCAGATCCACATAAGGACACACAATCACACTGTCTTCCAGGTCTCATTAGACCCTTTGAACTGGCATTTGGGAAACACATCCTTTCTATTATAAGAAGCAAATCTGAGCTCTCTAAGAATTCTTGATGAAGAGTCGTCTTTCTTTTAGGTGATTATTATAAGTAACAGTACTGGATTTGTTTTTTTTCCAAGCAGAGTTTTTCTTTCTCTGTATAGCCCTGTCTATCCTGGAACTCGCTTCATAGTCACGGATGGTCGAACTTGCAGAAATCTACCTGCCTCTGCTTCGAGTGCTGGGATTAAAGGCATTTGCTACTACCACTTGGCTTGGAATTCTTACTATAGGAACATGCATGTAAAGTAACTGTGGAGGGATGCTCTTATACTGCCCAGACAAACAGACTAGAAGCATTCAAGAGTGTCTTCTTATCAAGCATCTTCAACTAACGAGGACAAAATTAAAAATTTTGCTAAGGTTCTATTTAAAGATAACTGATATCTTTCCCTACAGTTTTTTGAAAAGGATTTTTCCTGCATTATGTATGTGAGTCTGTGTGGCAGGCAGTCTCCGCCTTACATCTTACAACCACAGAGTGACCATGTTACCTCTCCAGGAATTCCACACATTGTACTGACTCGGGCTTCTCTGTTTTATCTCAGAGGACAAGAACAGTTCTTTCCTACAGACTTTTACATTTCTCACATTTCACCTCTATGTTTTATTGTTGTTTGTTTGTTTTGCTCAGCTGTCTTGCACCACCTGCCTGTAATCTCCTTAGAAAGCTTACCTACATTGCCTATCTTCCTGTCTCCAGGAGAGTCAACTGTTCAATGACTGATGCTGACAAGAGGAAATCTAGGAAGGATGGGGGCAGGAGAGAGACAAAGGGTAAGAGGGGCCTTGAAATTGGTACCTTAAGTTCTAGAGGGTGAGATTGCTGCCCCCGGCACTTGTGGGCAGTTGTGTAAGTTACGGCAGAGGAGCGTCCCCTCCACGGCTTTCATCGTATAATTCTTTCTCTTCCATAATGTAATTCTTTTTCTTGAAAATTACAGTGTTGCTTCCATTCTGGGACTTGTTTGTTTTTGCAGTAGTGGGGATAGAACCCAGGGCCTGGTGCCTCCCTACACTTTTTTTTTTCATAATGAGGCAGGATAGAAAGGCAGAGAAAGTGTGTATGTGTGTGTGTGTGTGTGTGTGTGTGTGTGTGTGTATAGGGATGGGGTAAGGGGAATGAGAAGAGAGAAATACTCCCCTCCTTTGAATTCAGTTGAAGCTCCTTGCCAGCAGGAAACCAAGAATGCCCAATTAACGACTGCTTAAAGCCTTTCTCCCTTCCCAGCTGTAAACCTGTAATTTTCTAGGAATCTCACCAGAAACCTCGTTTGCAGGGAAAGGACACATGTGTACTAAACTCCTAGTACAACCCTAGAGACTCTGGTTTCCCTTTATCAGATTATAATTCCATCCAGTCTTCCTCCTGAACCACTTTACAATCTCATTTACCAAAGGAGAACAAAAGGGGGCCGGGATCCTCCCAAGCAACCTTTGAGATGTAACTTGAGAGTCACCAAAATGATTCATGTGGATAATACAGAGACAATGGCCATGCTCCTTTGAGTAAGCCTGTGCCTTCTTATTCTTTCTGCTTTCTTTTGAGAAACTTATAACCCACTCTGGTGTGTCTGTCTCGTAACTCTCATGCTTAGATCTGTTAAAATGTCTTTAACAAACGTTAAACAACGTTACCTCATTTTTGGCATTGAAGCCAGGCATCCTGCTTTGGCCTGATTTAGGTCTCTCAAAATCTAGGAAAATTCAGGTTGTCCTGTGGCAATTTGTCCCCCTACCACTGACAGTGATGCACCTACCACTTGTCCTGCCTATGCAGAAGTTGACTTAAAAGTTGCCCATCTTCTCTGCATGCACTGTCAAATCTGGAAAAGACAGTACGGCTTCCACTAGTGTGTTTTGTTTGCATACAATACTATCTCATTCAACCACAGAGCACCTAAAAGTCAGATGAATATTCTTTGCTCATTGATAAGAATGAAAGATGGCATTCCATTAGGTAAGCCACTCACTTCAATTACTTACCTGTATGTCGCAAAACTAGCATGGAGCTAAGGAGTCTGACATCATGGTGATCCCACCTGTGGCTGCGCGTTATAGTCACCCAGGGAGCTTTCAAAAACTACCACTACCCAGTCCTACTGCCAACCCTGATGGAATTGGTTTAGGTGTGCCCTTTGTGTTGGAATTTTTACAAGCTCCTCAGGTGGCTCTAATGAGCGGTTGTGGCTGAGAGGCTCTGTTCTGCAAGCAGGCACACTGCCTCTTGGCTGGAAGGAAGGGCCTTTGGAAGACTCAAAGAATGAAAGTCTCCTGGGGTGAAAGCAAGCACCCCCTGATGCCAGAGGCTGTTTGGTTTGCCTGCTGACAGCAACAAGTACCAGGAAGCCTCCACTCAGCACTGCACAGCATGCTGCTCTGCTCGAAGGAATTCCTTTCCTGGAACGTAAGCATTTCCGTATGGGGATCATATTCTGTCGTTAAAGAGCTGTTCCTACAACCATATGCATGGGTTTTCTCTCTGCCAAACCCTTTACTTGACATTTTATAGTGACGGGCAGAGAACAGTGGGGTCACTGGTACATTTCTTTATCTGATTTCCTGGGATTGTGAATGAAAGTGGCGTGCATTTCAAAAATTCTGCTTATCCTTCAGTGTTTGAATGTAAACCTCACACTCTGCTGTGATTATATGTTGTCGTATTATAAAGGCAGAATAGTGTCATAGGAAGGAAATATAGAGCCACCAGTCTAGTCCAAGTCTCTGGACCACAGTGCTAGTAACTGAGAGTAGGCATGTGTACTGAATGCTGTGCATGAGACACACTCAGAGTGCTTCAGTCCTATGATATATGTGATTATTTGCATTCTATAAACAAGGCAACTGGGCCAAAAAGGGCAATAGACTTACCAATGTCACACAGGTAGTTAATGATAGCAAAGATAAGCCATGGGAATTTGCCTCCAGAATTTACTTTCTTTATCAGTTTGTGATATTTTCTCCTATGTAGATGAGCTTAGCTAAATCACCTGGTTTCTCCTAGTCTTATTTTCTTATCTGAAAACAAGGGTTAGAAGACTGTCTAGCCCCTCAGGCAGATATATGGCTTTTGTGACATATAATAAGGTGTTCAGGAAATAAATACTATTTGAACAAATCAATCAATGATGAACTGGGGTGGTTAAAAGCATAGAATACACAGACACACTCTAAGACTGTATTGTAAAAGACTACACCCATGATTGTTATGGAACTGATATCTAGACATAGCTTTTGTGGCTCAAAAATACGAAAAATCGTTAACACCTAAATCAAAATTCAACAACCTCCTACCCATAAAATACAAAGCTCTTAGAAAAGCTGCATGAGACTTTTATAATCTCAGCAGCGATAAGAATATAAATGTATAAATGAAGTTAAAAGAGGTTTCCTTTGTCTTTCTGAGTCATTGAAGAAGCATTCTTCAATCTAAAAGCTTTATCTTCATTACTGCCAGGAAATTAGGCCATTAAAAAAAAGAGTGCGTTGGCTCTCATCCAGCTGAACTATCAAAAGACAACATGGCCAGCGGAGTCTGTCAGGTTTACGTTTACATTTTTAAATTAGGTGCTGGTTCTTTTTGAAGGGGGACTCTTGGAGCATTTTTATAATGATTCCATGGGAAGAAGAGGCAGTGGGCTTGTGAAATCTGCCATCCAGGGTTAGATTCAAAGTCTCAGAAATTCTTCTGGGCTACAGATAACTGTTCCCAGGCTCCTGCTTTCCCAGAGGATGAGTTACAGACGGTTAGTGACAGGCAGATGAAGAAACAACATAATTCAGCAAGCTGGAGTCAAATGCTTTAGAGGGAGGAACCATTATCAGGGGGATCATCATAATTTCCCTCCATTTTAAAATCGTTTTTTTATTAAGAAACAATCATTCCCAAACCTTCTGAAGTTTTGGCACGATTGTATCTTTTGCCTAGGGTCGGGTTTCTAAGGCCCTCCCTCTATGTATTTACATGCTACCATCCTGCAGAAATCTGTTTGTTTGTTTGTTTGGAAGAATTTGCCTCCTATTCCCTAGAGCTAATATCTCTCAATGCCAGGTTTTTACAACAAATATTTATTGTCCCCAGATCCATCTCTGTCCCTCCATATTTTGCACACAGTAAGCCCTCGAACTGATTGGCTAAAGGTGTTAGTCACCAAACTTTTAAAATTAAACACCCAAGGACTCGAATATGAGAAATAAAAATTTTCTGAGCTGATAGCATTGCTAAAATTTGTGTATCATAATAGACTTTGACTTTTTTTTTACAACCACTAGTGTTCGAAAATGATAACATAAAATCACAAAATAATCAATAACCAACTTCCTGAAAGAACATGTGATTTCTTAAACATTATCTTATTAGGTCTTGAAACTGCTAAGCTTAGCAGTACTTTTGCCTTGACTTATGCCTAAAAAAATGTAACTACAAACTTTTGCTATAGTTGGAAAATCAATATAATGAGTTGATTAACCATGAGACCCAAAATCAAAGCAGTGACCACAAGGGAAGAGATGAGCAGAAAGAGTATGATAAACCAAGAATACAAAAAAAGAAAGATTAAGAGGCATAGCATGGTTTTAAGAATTCTTAGGCTGAAGAAAATGCAGAAATAGTGAGCTGCCAATACCCAAAGAAGGAAGGAGGGACAGGTTTGGGAGTGGAAATGTGAACTGGGTTCAGGATACCTTAAATGGCAAGCCTGCATGATATTCAGGTGAGTCTCATGGCTGCATATCAAGAGAGTCTGCGTAGAGATGTGGTTTTGGCAATCACTGACTAAGGAAGAACGTGGTAGGGCCTCTCAGAGAGTGGGAGGAGGATAGAGGAAAGAAAGAGGCAGAAGAAAACTTAGGAAGAAAGAAGAAACCTCACGAGTACAGGATATTGTACTCATCAAGGAGAACGTAGGCAGTAACAGCTATAAAAGAACAGGGCTATAAAAAGTCAGCGCAGACTCTGAGATCTGCAGCCCCTTCTAATCTCACAATGTCCAGTGCCGTTTTTGGCAGGAGGGCTGGGGCAAAGCCACATTCTCACTTGTGTGTGGAGACTGCATAGCCTACTTTGAGGCAAACAATGACATATACTGTAAAAGTCCAGTTAAATGGAACCAGTTGTCTAGCTCTTGGAGTCTATCTTTGTGGTCCCCAGAAAATGTTTTCTTACATCGATGTAATGTAACGGAACAACCGTCAGCTCTCATGTTTTCCGGCTGCATTTGCTCTGCACGCTGGCTCTGGCTTAGAGGATAACTGCATTTGAAATGAAAAGGTCCACCCTGCTGTGAACCCTTCTTTCTGAGGCAGAAGGCCTTAAGTAAACCTCATAAGATTAAGAACTCAGTCAATTGTCAATTGCCTACCCTTCCTTCTGGCTTTTAAATAGACTTCAGTTGGGGGGGGGGTGGGGGGGGGCTCTGCACAAAGAAGAGCTAAATTACTAGTTGTTGAGTGAGGAGTATAGTATTGACAGCCAATAGAACCGTTTACTGCTCTTGCAGGGCAGATATGTGTCAATTAGTCTTGAGATGAGAGCAAGACAAACCAAGAAAAATCAACAGATTAAAAGATTAAAGACACAGAATAAATAAAGTAGCATCAACTCACATGGATTTTTGGAGTGTTTTGCGATTTTTGTCGTGGCTATCTCAGACCATGTCTTGTAGTAGTCATTAAATGATATTGTTTTAATTACTCTGAAAATATAAACAAAAGGCCATATTAATGTGTAAATTTGTCCTTAAAATGATTTGATCAGAGCAACGATTCTGCTAATATCACACCAAACTAGACTGATTCAAAACTTAGGATGCTCTCTCCTCCTCCTCCCCCCTTCCTCTTCCTCCTCTTCCTCTTCTTCCTCCTCCTCCTCTTTCTCCTCCTCCTCCTCCTCCTCCTTCTTTTATTTCTTTTCATTCCTTTGAGAACAGAAATTTGTGTTCCTCCCTGGCAGGTCTTGATCTCTGTGTATCCCAGGCTGGCCTGAAGCTCACAATTCTCCTGTGCGCTGGGGTTACAGGTACAGCCACAGTGCTGGGCTTTAGACATGTATCTCTAAGACTCATACACTTAACACATGAATCAAAAATATTGATTTCACCATTGTCAAGTAAGTATAACAAAAGTAAATGTCCACCTATGTGCATATTTATCTATGTTGTAAAAAGAAACTATAACTTTAAGACAACTGCCTTTCATGCCAATATATAAAAGGAACTTTAAGGGAAGCATTATATTTGTATTTTTATTCTGTAATAAAATTTTCTTAAATTCCATATCAGATGTATTATCATTGTTTTTATTTCCTCTTTGTAGGGAGAATAAAAGCATCCGACTGTAGATTAGTTTTTACACGGCATCTAGCTACTTTTTACACGGCATCTAGCTACTGTTGACATGGAGAGACTCTCCCTTCTCTCCCTTCTTCCATACTTTTCTCTCTGTTAGTGTCATTAGGGCACTAACAGGGGAGTGAAGGTTGTGTAGGTAAAGCAGCTGTAGAACACTCTAAATCACTGCCTCGCTACATAGTTTTACTATGAACTTGTTGAACACAGCGAATCACAGCTCTGTACATAAAATATCACTCAGAGATAATGTTCGGCCGTGTGAAATCACCAGCTAACTGGTGGGGGTAGATGCTGAAGACTCAGGTGGGTGTAATAGCCCCTATGTCTGTTTTCTAATTTAACTTCTCGGTTATTTGGAAAGAGAAATACATTTTCAGTTAAAACAAATATATTGGTACTATTTTTTTTATGGGTCAGCCATAAGTTCCTTAAGGTAAATATTTGACTCAATTCTGAAATTAACGGAGCAATCTTTAAATGGACTAGTGCCTTCGCCTGCTGCAGTTTGTGACACCTAATTTTAAGACTAACAGTTTTTAAATATGTTATTACTTTTCCAATCACATGTAAGTAGAACTCTGAAATGGGGTGAAAACCAATTAACCATCACTATTACTGCTTCCAGTGCGGCTGGCCAAGCTTCACACTACTAAAGGAAATGCTAAGGTAATGTAAATTTGCATGCATTTGGCCCCCCCCCCCCCCGCAATGTTTCAGCAATTTGCAGCAGGGATAAGGAAATGAAAGGCTGCCCTATATCTGCTGCATGAAAATCTTGGGATCAATTTGCAATCACAGTTCACTTAACAGACAAGAATGACCCAAGAGGAAGGAAACTGTCAACACACGTCTCACAGAAAAAAAAAAAAAAAACATCCTTAGGCACAATGGTCTCCATTGTCTTTTGTCTGTTTGAGGATGACCCATGACCCTCTCCCTTCCCAGGGGTGTCCTGTTCAGTTTCAAACTGTTAGCCCTCCAGGGATTTCTTTTCTTTCTTGCAGAATAATTAAAAATATTACCCTAAAAGGTGTAACTATGGTTAGCTTGAATACACAGAGAAGAATATCTTAAATATTTGCATTTCCAATTCTATAAAGCAAACAGTCCTTTTAAATAAAAGGGCAGTAACTATACTTGCTATCATTCAGATAGTCTATGAAGCTAATAAGGAGATAAATGACATAAAAATGTTTGTAGTTCCCACCAACACCAAGAACATACTGAATTCTGTCTCCGACTGAAAAGAGGAGGAAATGTAAATTTGTAAGTTTAAACTGGACACCAGAGCTGATTTTTCTGTTGAAATAAGACATATCCCTGGGTGAGTGAAGGGAACAGCTTTCTCTACTCCCATAATAAGGTGCTGCATGGTTTAACATTTGGATCATTTGATACATTGACCATACTTCTTTAGAAGTGGCAATAAACAAAAGAATTTGGAGGAGGGTAATAAAACTTTTGTTTGAAAGTCATCAGGGAGTCATTTGGGGTGCAGTGTCTGCAGAAAGGAGGGAGGCATCCTAGGCTCAGGAATAGCCTCAGCCGTATTTGGCGGGGGTGGGGTGTGATGTGTATTCACATGCACACAGAGGACCTCGGAGTAAGGGAGGAGAGCGATGGAGTAGTTAAGTTCAGTGGACAGTTCTGACCAAGAGCGGCTGGAGGCTGTTCAAGTAAGTGAAGTTTGGTTGTACAGGTTGTACTCTCTGCATGCAGGCAGAGAGTAGTTGAAATTGGTTGACAACCGTGGATTATCAAAATGAAGAGCCATCAGTGGTTCCCAAATTGGAAAGTAAAGAAGAATCTGGAGCTTGAGCAGGGGTTTCCTGAGGGGTCTCACATATAGGGGTTTCTAGAAGACTAAATGTAGGGTCAGTTAAAGAATAGTAATGAAGGTGTGGGCTACCTTAGAGTTAACAGGGGTGGGAGCACTTGAATTGTTTTGAGGAAGGTAATAAAACTTTTGTTTGAAAGTCATGAGGGAGTCAGGTATCTGCAGAAAGGAAAGAGGCATCCTCGGCTCAAAAACAGCCTCAGCCATATTAGGGACTGGGGTTAGGAGCAGGTACAGACAAAAGCAACGTAACACTAAAGAAAGAGCTGATTGGTAACCTGGCGTGTGAACCGTGAAGGAACGTTGGGGTCAAATACTTTTCTGAAGCCCAGGAGACTAATTTTCTATTAAAAAAAAAAACTTTGTGTGGGACCGAAGTAAAATACGAATGTAATTTTAGGTGTGGCTTTAGGTGACACTATGACAGAGGAGCCAAAATGACCTTTATGGATCTGACAGTGAAATGTGGAATGGAAAAGAGAGACTGACACATGAAACCATTAAGGGAACCAATCTTCAAAACAATGGTTAGAAGAGAAAGAGAGGACATCAACTTAAAGGGCCAGTGATGGGAAAAGTCAGGCTCACTGCCTGCGAGAAGAATTTAACAGTGATGCTGTTTTACAGAAGTAATGCCCAGCTCGAGCTTTGTCTGGTTGAGAACTTCTCCTGCACCACCAGCTAGTGCTGAGCATCATGGTTAAGACTGCAGGATCTGGGATTAGTGGGGTGAACCCTCTGGCATGATTAGTTATTGGCTGTGGGATCAGGTGAGTTATGTCACCTTTGCATACTTGTTTCCTCATCGCTAAAAGAGAGGGGGCTTTTCTCAAGAGGTCAGCATAGGTATTCAGCGAGATCACACATGAAAAGAGCCAAGTTTAGCACGTCATCATCACGCAGAGTCACGGGTCTTCTCAGCTGGCTTCCCATGGTGTCTTGATATCTTGTCACTTCAAAGGCTGCAAACTGTTTTCCTACCTTCTATTCTTTAGGCCAAAGAGGGTGATGCCTCTGTTGCCAAGAGACATTTGTCATCTAGTTCTAGAGGATGAAGTCTCAACACTTTCGAACAAAACTTGAGACTCATCATCAGCTGGCCACGCCCAGCTCCTTCTTCTTGCAGTGTCTCCTTGCTCTCTTCAGCGCCCCCAACTGGTGGGAGTTCCTGTAAATCTTGACTATCCTATAGTATTTCACTTCTGTTTCTGTGGAAATGTTTCTAGTTAGAGATCACCCCTATCTTCCTTTCATTCCATACTCTTACTCATCAAAGTCTGGGTTGAGTCAAACAATTGTGAATGACTGATGCCATGGGGGACACCCCGGGGGTTTGCCTCCTAATCTCCTCCCATGTCTTCCCCGGGACAACATGTGGAGACTCAGATCCAAATGAGAGCACTATTGAAGAGTGCAGGCTGTCTGACCAGGGCATTTATTTCAGTAATAGGAACAGGAATTACGAAGATTAAACTAGGACTGGAGTGATGGCCCTGTGTGTAAGGACATTTGCCACACAAGTGCGAGGATGAGGACCCGAGTTCGGTTCCCAGCATATATGTAAAAACTTGGCATGGCTGTTTGCACCAGCAGTCTGAACATGGTTGCAGGTCTAAGACAGTAAAATGGCTAGGGCTTCTGGATTAGCCAGGCTAGTCAGAAAGTGGCATTCTCCAGGTTCGGTGAGAGGCCTTGTCTCTGGTGATAAGCCAGAGAATGATAGAGCAATCCACCCAGGGTCTTTTCTCTTGGTCTCCATGTGAATGTACACACATACACACATGTGCACATGCATACACACATGCATATCAACATAAGCACATGTGCATTCTCATACAATCAGAGCGAGGCTCATTGCAACATTGAAGTACAGCACATGTTGGTATCAGGTCAGCCCAGTTTGTTTGCCTGTCTTGCTATTCTCGACTTTTTACGCTCCTAGGAAAGTGTTAGAAGTAGCTGGTAAGACTCTGGGGGTAAAAGAGAAACAGGCAGCAACACTTATTGCTCTCTTTTCTTGTTTGCAATGTGACCAGCAGCCACCATGACCATGACTGTGAGCTTGAATAAACCCTTCCTTCCTTTAGGGTTCTTGTGAGGTGTATTGTTACAGCTACAAGAGAAGTGACTAAAACAGATGTATAGGGGAATATATATATATTCCCCCCCCCCAGTTTGGTATACTATGTATAGGGTCTTGGAATTTGCTCACTGCCTGTGAATGAGCAAGGACTACTGTGATTGACAGTTGGTGGGACATAGGCTTTTTGGCATCATCCTCTGTAAAGAAAGCCCTTGCTCCCCAGTCCACAGGGGAGTTCCTGTCCTGCTTTAATGGGAGGCAGAGGCAGGTGAATTTCTATGAGTTTGAAGCTAGTCTTATCTACAAAGTGAGTTCTGGGATGGCTAGGGCTATACAGAGAAACTCTGCCCTCAAAAAACAAAAACAAACAAACAAAACCAAAGCGATCTCGAGTCTGGGCTCTCCATGTTCCTTTCCATGTCCTGTCAAGAAAGCTATTTCTGCTCAATATTGCCTTGGCATCTTAGACACAGTGCCATCATGCTTATTATATTTTATCAATGCAACTCAACAACAACAACAACAACAGCAACAACAAAACAGTCACAACTCAACAAGACACCAAACTGCATGTGCAAAATGTGGATACAGAGACTAGTGACTTGGTTCTAAAAAAAAAAAAAAATTATAGACTTCTAAAGGAAGCCTAGAAAGAAAAGAAAAGGCTGTGGGGGAAGGAGCTTCTGTTCAAAGTGACCAATTTAAATAGAGCTCACTCTGACCTTAGCATTCTTCAAATTCCTTCTTAGCTACACTACTAGTATTTGCCCTGTGGCCTTGGGCATCTGGTGGAAGATGTTTCCTACACTGTCCTTGTCCCTGCTATTTCTCTTGCAAAAGAGGTCTGCATTTTAGAATACAAGGTTCATGAGTTTAGGGATCACATATTGCAGGGGTGTGTCTCCAACATTTGGGGTATAGTGCTTGCTATAGGATAGTACGTTCAGAGAATGGATTTTAAAAGTACAGATAAAGTACCTGTCCTTCCATGGGTGGAAAAGCCTGCCATGCAACTGGTGAGTGGTTTTCTAGACAATATGCAAAAATTCCAGCTGACTGTACACATTCAGTGTCAACAGAAACTCTGTTAAACCTGAGATTCTTGAGAGAAGGCCAGTTGCACAGTTTTTGAGCTAAATTTGAAGCAAACTTTAATTAAATACTGGCCAGGTTAATAGACTCTGGCTGGATCCATTCTAGAGTTCCAGAAAATGGTGATGAGTCATAGCTTGCAGAAGCTTAAAAAGGCAAAATCATACAGACATAGTCTTTCCTCCCTGCCCACACATGATAAAGCCCATCTGGTGCCGTGGGTCAAACAAACTTGTTTAGGGGAGCAAAAACCTGTGCCTTGCTATCTTCCATAAACAATGGACTCCAGTATTTCAGGAAGTATCTGCCTTTGGGCAAGTAGGGCTTACAGGTAAACTTTGGCCCTTACACCCCCTAGTTCAACATCGACAGAACCCCCCTGCTACATTCTATGCAGTTGATCATACTCTGCTTGAGTTTTGTCTTGCCTTTTGTATTCAGAGGCTAAACTCTGGAATACATTTTTATACATACGCTTTTCTTCCTGCTCATGAAGTTAATGCAAATCTCCAACCCAATGGATTGGATGTCATAATGCTATGAGAGGTATAACTCTTTGAATAACCTCTACAAGACCTCATTGTGATGCCTTATTTCAAACTAAAATGTAGGAGCCAGCGTAGTGGCTCAGTGGACCTGAGTTCAACCCCTGGGGATTCGGGCGGGGGGGAAGGCTGGTGTAGTAATATGCATCTGTGACCCCAGCCCCTCTTAAAGACAAATGAGAGGCAGACAGGCAAATCACCCTGAAGCTCATGGGCCAGCTTTCCTGAGTATACCATTCAGCAGCAGAAACAAGAGAGATCCTAAGACCCTGCATCACCAAGGTAGGAAAGAAGTGACTCCTAAAAGTTGTCTTCTTATCTTCAAATGAATGGCATGGCTCCTCCCCCCCCACCTCTCTCTCTCTCTCTCTCTCTCTCACTCACACACACACACACACACACACACACACACCACCTGAACACACAAACACCAATAAACATGGATTGTTACTGAAGTCCTGACTTTCTAGCCCTGATGGTGTCCTATCTGAAGGCTTCTCTAGAGAATTCAGGGCTACACAAAGTGAGCTTGGTAAACCAGACCTTATTTGGGGTCATTTGTCCTTGTCTATGTTCAGAGGAACTGCTGAAACCAAACCAGAGACAATCTTCTGATCAGGTCCTCTGGTCAATTGCTGGTCAATGCTGGCACTCTGTGATGGATACTGCAAATAGTTAAACCACAAGCAGAAAGAACTTTTGCTGTCCCAGTGATATTCATGTTTTATAGATGATAAAACCACATGTGTGCATTTGATAGTGCTCAACAGAGTGTGTTCTGTGCAGGATGGGGAAGGTGCTCTAGATTCATGACATGCTAGGAAGACAGCAATGCCTTCTCTGAGCCCCAGCCAAGCAGACCTCTCTCTCTGGACTGTACATGATCTTTCTACATGTTTTCAGGACCATGTCATAAACAGAAGCTACTTAAGTGGCTGAAGTTTGCTTACCTTTACTATAATTGCCAGTCAAGGAAACCTGGGCTAAATCAAGCTCGATGATTTCCCACTAGCTAATTGGCTTTAAGTTTAGAGCTCAAGAACGTAAGGGCTGGAACACTTTTACCAAGTATTTACAATTTAGAAGACTCTATAGATTGCATTTTGCTCAGCTCCTCAAAGCCAATCTAACGCCACACTGCCAGGCTATTCCTTAAAAGGTACACTGCGGGCTGGAGAGATGGCTCAGAGTTCAAGAGGGTTTTGCTGCTGTTCCAGAGGACCAGTTTTTGTTCCCAGCAAGAAATCACTGCAAAGCTCATAATCTCTTAGAATTCCCCATTGGGGGCAGAGATCTGACACCCTCCTCTGGTCTCTCTGGGCACTGTGTCCATGTTCTCCTCATCTCCCATGTACATGGAATTAAGAATCAAAATATAAAATCTATAAAAAGACAGACAGACAGACAGACAGACAGACAAGACAGACAGACAGACAGACAGACAGAAAAGGTACAGTGATTCTGATCCTGACTCAGTTTTCTTAGATACAGTTACACTTATGTTCTCCTAGAATGCTTGGAGTTTTATGATCTATAATGGTTTATGCTTATTTTATCATCAGCACATTTTCCATTAAAAAACTACAAATAAAAATAGACCAGTTCATTATAGATGCACTGAAGTTAGATTTAATAGAATGAACTCAACAATTTCCCACATTCTTCCTAAAAACATTTATTATAAGAGAAACAAATAATTCCCTTTCTAAATTAAAAGACGTAAAATGTAGGGCTGGGGAGAAGGCTCCACAGTTAAGAGCGCTTGCTGGTCTGGTAAAGGCTAAGAATTCACTTCCCAGCAGCCACATTAGGTGACTCAATCCCCTGAAACCATAGCTTCAGAGGATCTGGTACTCTCTTTTGTCCTCTATAGACATCCACATCTACATAAATAAAATAAACATAAATCTTTTAAAAGTTTTCATTGTAAGCCATAAGTGCAGTATCATTTAGTATTGGTTTTGGTTGAGAACTGACAGAGATATCTCTCGAGAAAAGCATACCTGATGTGCTCCTGTGGCCTTTCAGCGAACACCAGGCTGCCCTCTCTTTCTGCAAGGAGAAAACAGGAAAGAATTCTGGTGACTTGGAGTCTGAATAGGTGTTGCTCTGTGCTTTCTTCCAGAACCTCAATAAAATCCCAGCAAAGGGATAAAATTATAGTGCAAAATATCAAGGAAGTCAAAGGAAAATGGCAAACAAACAAACAAAAATCAAACAAACCAAAAAAAACCCAGAAAGCAAGCAAACAAACAAACAAACAAACCCACCAAAACAAAACCAGGATGGAAAGCAGAGGTCAAAGGGCAACTGTCCTGGTAGGTCCTGGAAGTCTGAAACCTAAAAGTAAAGAGAGGAAAGGTCAAGAGCCAGCGAGTAGACTGCATTCTAGAACTTGGGAAGAAACTCAGAAACCAAGGGTGTCAGGTAACTCTCAGAGGAGAGACCAGAGGCAGAGCATGGACCTGCACTTAACCATTCTCACCCAGAGAACCACATGGATTGCTTGCCCAGAGAGGGAGGAGGATGCCTGAGTCAGGGAGATTCAGGGCTGAAGAGCACAGGAGTGTGGATGACTGAGATCAGGGAATAAGTAAAAAGTCACCCTAAACAGTAGGAATCCTGACCTCCCCTTGTCTGGCTCCCAGAATCTGTCCCCTATGCCATAACCCTGGACTATTTCTCATGGCCAGGTAGGTTCTCACTAGAGCAAAGCCAGCAACAAGGTCCAGCTTGATGCAGAACTTCCACTCTTTTAATAAGATTTGTCATTGTATTTCTATTACATGAATGGACAATTAAAGATCATCAGACAGTTGATCTCCCAATAAGAAAAATATAAATACATTTTCCTAAGAAGCCTCTCAGAATATACAATCATTACTATACTAACAAAGACACGAGTAATAGAGAAAAAATATGTTTTTAAAATCAGAGGATTAGACAGTAGGACTTGTAGGCTTAGATATTTCAAAACCTACTTTAATAAGGGTTCTTAAACACCTCCCTTCTAGTCCACCACCCACCAGAGTTAGTGAAAAGAAAATGTTAATGGGACCAAAGGGGGATGTGGACTTATTTAGAAATAGGTTTTGTTGTTGTTGTTTTTGATTGTTTGTTTGTTTGTTTTTTGCTTGATCTCATCCCTTGTTGTCAGGATCTCAGCAGTTTGGTTCACATGAATCAGCAGCAGTAGGTAGCTCCATCCACTCACAAATACCATTCATCAATCAGCAACAGCAGTTCAATCCAGAAGAAACCAGTAGGCATTGCCAATGGGCTTGAGTCCCCAGAAGAGGCAAGAAGCCACCAAAATATCAAGTTCTTTGGTGAATTTCTCTCTATGAAGTCACAGCAAATGATCAGGGAAGAAGGCAAGGTGAAGCAATGTGAAAGTGAGAGTCTACAAAGCCCAACGAAGACCAGCAAAGATTGGCAAGGTGAACCAATGCCACAGTGTTGTCCACTGTCTGTTGGGTTATACTCACACCCTTTCCAAACATCTCATGTCCTCTCAAGCATCTGCTTCAGCAAAACACTACATGACCCTTTTCCAGATGGCTTCCAGAAAACACTGTGTATCTATTCTCAGCAAAACATCCTCCCACATGTCTGCTTCAGCAAAAACATCCTCTCATAAGGCAGTCTCCAGAAAAACAGCACAGGACACAACTGAGTCTCCAAAGAAACCAGAGACTTCCACTTCAAGGGCCAACATCCAAGATATAGAGGAGATCATGGAAAAAAGAGAATGGAGAGACCGCATAAAACAAGCCACATAAAAAGAATTCCCTAGGACCACAATGCTTCCAGTTTGACATTTCCATGGCTTATTTAACATACAGTGAGAGAGAAAGAGATAAAATATACCAAGGAATGCTGGTAAGAAATCAATGATCACAGTGAATAAGGAGACTTTTTTTAATCCCCCTGGGAAAAAATGATAAATCACATGTGAATAACTGCGAATCTGAGAGCATCTGTCAAGCAAAAGCAGCACTGGGAAATAAGTACAGGGTAATAGTGGGTTTTATTTCCTAAAGAAAATTGTTTACAAACTGGTTTGTCCAAACTGTGGTCACAGGAGCATAGGACAGCTACACTTTTAGATGTGAGGTCATAAAAGACTCACTTCCTGTGGGCTAGGAGGCTCTTGGGGGTTTTGCTGTAAAAATGACAGCTCGAACCAGGAGGCAGGTGGAGTCACACACCTGGGAGGAAGACAGGGGACACAGGGAAGGATTGTTCAGTAGGGGGTGGCGGTGAGCAGGAACAGTTAATGCTGCTCTCCTCCTGGTTAGATGGTAAAATTTTCCTCCTCTGAAAAAAAAGAGAAAAAGATGTTCAGAAGAAAAAAAAAAACCCAAGCTACAGACTTTATCCCAAGAGAGAAACAGAGATAAAAGCTTCAGAAATTCTTGAAGGAAGTGGAGGGTACTGGGAAAGATCAAGATCAGGGGGAGAAAAGAGAGAGACATACCATGACACTGAGAGACAAGCAGAACTCAGTACAGCTGCACTGGCATTGATCCCTGGTGGGAGAGGGGACTCAGAAATCCTAGAGAAGACAGGCAGGCCTACCTTCAAAACAAGCCTCAATTCCCACAAGCCTCAAATCTAGTTGCAGATGTTGGTGAGACAGTGATGCCTCCAAGTAGAGTCAGTGGAGGAGAGATACCATTTTTGTCATGCAGCAGCTAGATCCTTTTACTGTTAACAACTGAGCTACCCTGATGGCCTGAGATTGGGGACCAACCAAAGGTTAGAATGACTCTTAGTGGCTTTTCAGGCTTGGGACTATAGGAGGAAGAGAGATAGTTTTATCCTTCGTGTCCAGGAATACAGATCATCAACTTAGAATGCCCAGAGTTTGCCAGCTTTGAGCCTGAGTCAGAAGTGGGTCAAATTCTGGAGCCAACATAGTTGTCATCCACTGCTGCAGAGCCTGAGGAATCTGAAGTTCATAGCAGCTTTTCCCCAGCAGAGGGATCGACACTCAGGGAATCTTGAAAGTAGAGTGTTGTCATTACTTCCTACACTTCTAACATACCTGGAAGAGAGACACCCCCTTGGCTGCAGGGTCACCCAGAGCATAAGATCTGGGGAGTCTTGGGAAGCCAAAAGACTGACCCCCATCTAGCCCAAAGAATGCAAATTAGGCTGAGGTGCCTGATATTCAAAGGAGGAAAATGGCTTCTGTGGAGACAACTCTGATGGATATTGTGAGTTTGTCCAGTACAGACTCAGCAGCAACAGCAAACACCAAAGGGACACAAGGTCAGCTGACCAGCCCTTGCTCAGAACTAGCAGGCTCCAGCGTTTTAGGACCCAGTAAATCAATCAGCTACCCCTCCCCTCAGCCTTGTTCTGTTCTTTTTAGTGCGATTCCCTGTTTTACTTAAACATTTTTAAGGAGTTTAATTTGTTGTATTGTTTAAATTTTAAATGTTTTTGTTTCCCCTTCATATATTTATCTAATTTTGTTTATTTTTCATATTTTTTCTTTTTGCCCATTGTATTTTCTCCGAAACCACCACCTACATTTAGTAGTACTTTGATTTTGACTTATTGACATTTTTCCTTAAACACTGACGGTTTTATTATTATTCTCTTTCTTCTTTCTTATATTTATCTAATTTTGTTTTTGATGACCATCACAGGATCAAATTTGGCAGCAGATAGGCAGACATGGCACTGGAGCAGTAGCTGAAATTTACATGGCGATACAGCAACCATGGTGCAGAGAGAAAGAGAGAGAGAGAGAGAGAGAGAGAGAGAGAGAGAGAGAGAGAGAGAGAGAGAGA